CCCCAAAACCCCAAAACCCCAAAACCCCAAAACCCCAGCAATTTTAAAATAATTGATTATAGTTAAGAAATAATGTAGGTACAAAGAAATAACGAAATATTGCTAAACCTCTCATTTAGAACTCAGCATGATCAGAAAAACTTCGGTCGACTCAGATTTTGAGATCAGAATTAGCAGACAGAATTCTAATATAAAAGCCTCAAAGAGGCTTTCTATCAATAGCAGAAAGTTTAGCCAAGGATTGTTCGAAGAAAAGAAGACTAAGAGTTCGCTAAAATTTAAGAAGAATGGGAGGGTAAATGTTCTTCTAATCCTTTAGTCTATTTTTCCTAACAGTTGCAAAAACAAGAGGCCTAATTCAAGGTACGAATTAACACTCAGCTGTAGCAATCCTCATCTGCTCCATTTCAATCCGATATACAGATACTCTAAGCTTCTAAAGGACAATAGTAGTTATCAGAAGCAGAATAGGATGATTGCGAGAAGAGGATTAGAAGATATGGAGATTGAAAACCGTAGCTGCACAACCAAAAATAGGCTGAGACTTAAAATGACTCAGGCTCAAAAGAATCTTGACTCCATTCATAAATAAAAGAGATGCTACCTTCTCAGCTAGGCAGAAGAAGAGGGACGATATTCTTACTAAAATAGATCAGCTCAGGAAGAGTCAGGAAGTTCATGACTCAATTCAGTTTAAGAAAGATTTCAGACAAGTTATTAAAAGAAGAAAGAAAGCTATGCTCCAAGGCAATAATACCACCAGAGTAAGACTTAAGGCCATCCTTCATAGATTGATGAGGTTAAAGCCAAGAAGAAGCAGCAGCTCAAGGATAAAATCTTAGAGAAACTCCAAAGAAAAGGTAAGACTCAGAAACAATGTGTAGAAATGGACAGATCTCTCTTTCAAGCAAATCAGATAAAAGCTGATCTTGAAGATAGAGCTTTCCGGGCCAAAATGCAGCAGAAAAAGAAAGTTCTAGAGCGTAAAATTCGTGACTCCAGGTCAATTGAGCCTTTTGATGACTACAGTCAGGAGCATTCCTACTCTCCATTCAAAAGGAAGAGGACTATCAATATTACATACAAGCAATACGATGCTATGAACCGTAGCATTCAAGTCTCAAAGAAAGTGAAGGAGCTCAAGAAGAATAAAGTTGAAGAAATGAGGAAGAAGAAATTTGAAAACAGCCAAAAGCAGAGACACGCCTTCGAGTAACCTTGACTTCCTAATCGTTTAGAATCAGACAAGAAAATCAAAAATAAGAAGAGAGAATTCCTTCGTCATACAATGGTAGATTTATTAAAGAAGGCTAATCGTGTCAATAAGTCAGTGTAAGATTCCAGTTTATAACTCATGTAGTGAAGTTGAGAAGAGGACAACTAGCAGGAGGAGAAGAAGAGGGACTAGCAAGACCATTAATATCACTTTAATGAACTCCTCATCACCCAAGATGCATAGAGTTCCTAAGAAGCAAGCTACGATACAATCTAAAAACCATATTAAGGAGAAGAAAAGGAAGGAGAACCTTATTGATCAGATTTTGGAAAAATAACCAGAGACATAAGAAGATATGCAGAATTAAAAACAAGTACGGTTTCTACTCACTCTAGGTACCTCGCCAAAATATCCAAACAAAACCACAAACTCGTCGAGCAGACTGCTAGCGCATACTCAGCCTTGTCTTCCTCCCTCGGGACTTAAACCACCCCTAAAGATCCTCAAAAATCTCCTTGAATAGTACTTTTCCCTACAAAATTTCCAAAAAATTTCTTAATCCTCCAGTTTTTAAATTTTTAAATTTCATAAAAATCCTGACCAAAATAATTTAGCTGTTGCCAATATAAAAGTTGTTCCTGGGGTTTTGGGGTTTTGGGGTTTTGGGGTTTTGGGG